ACGGCAAAAGCAAGAGTTATGCAATCATGAAGTTGAGTGTACCATTCTTCATAAGCTTGAACACGATGTCTCGTCACTTAATTTCACTGTCTCACTTCCCCAAGCAAACTTCTGATTATCATGGAATTTATCATTCCTAGCATATACTTTTTGAAAACCCCCGCTATCCTGTACTTCTTGATGAGGTATGCCATCTTTTTGCTTCCTACAGGTCCCCCAAATATGCTTAGGAGGCGTCCTTGACTGAGTGTGATGGTTTTTTAATATCTTCAAATGTCATTAGCAAGTCATTTTCTGTGTAATGTATCAAAGTTATTGTGTTCCCAAATGAACTGTTTTAATGATTTTTCAATAACTTTTCGTTTTATGTCATATAACTTTTCCATGCAAGCCGTTCTTAGTATTGGTGCTGATTGTTTTTTCCTCTGGCGAATGATGCTCAGGATAAATTCCCCTAACAAGTTACCCAAATTTTCAAGTTCTGACTCATTTGTGCATCCTGATTTTTTTCTCCTCGATCTCGTGAATCAGTCTTATTTTCACGTTAGTCTCAAACTTAATCTTTAAAATAACAAAGCCAATGATTAATATTTACATTCATTCTGATTAGGTTTACAAATTCGTGTAGTTCATTTCTCATAAAATTTTCTATTCTTTTACTTTACTTCCATTTTTATTCTAAATTCCGGGGTGGATTTATTCGCTTTCTTAATTTTGCTATTGAATTTTATCATACTTTATATCCAAAAACTAGTTCACTTCTTGGATTGATTGTCTGGTGTCTGACTAGGTGCTGATCAGACCTGTGTTAGTTAGAAATTAGGTCACAAAGTACTTCTAAGTCTGATGGAAACTTCTTTAGTTTCTTTTTATCGGCAGATCGACCATCAATTTCTGAAACACCAGTCTACTAACGACTTACCCCCATCTTTTCTTTGCTTTTGTATCTTACTGAGCCTACTGTATGTCTGTCTTAATGTCTGTTTCTGACGCCCAATATAATTAAATATATTTGTTCGCGTTTTCATTTTTATTATTATTCAATTTTTTTGTTTCGTTATTTTGTCCTTTCCGCTCCTATTTTACTTTACTCTGCATATGTTTATCATTTTTCAGGCTGCTCAATATATTGGTGAAATGTGTCGCTATCTGTTAGCCCAACCCCTTAGACCAACTGACAATGCTCACAAGGTTTGGCTGGCCTTTGGAAATGGCCTCCGGCCACAGGTTTGGACAGAGTTCTGCAAACGCTTTGGCATAAAGAGGATCGGCGAGTTTTATGGGGCCACTGAATCGAATGCCAATTTCTGCAATGCTGACAATAAGGTGTGCATTTTATAAAAAATTAAGCGTTCATGTCGATGCAGCCTTCAATCTCTTCTATCGTCTTGTTATTTTCATTAAGTAAAACTTCAATTCTTTCGCATGCCTTTTTTCAGTTATTCATGGGTTCTCCCATCAAGATGTATCCACTTCTATAAATATATTTTTTATAACTTTGCCCAATTTTAACTTATTTCCATCCATATTTACGTCATGTTGCTTTTTAATCTTTTTTTTCTACTTCGTTAAAATATTAAACTGCAGAACGTTATTCATATTTTGCTTTTTATCGCTCTTAAGGTCGGTGCCATCGGCTTCACTTCTCGTATTCTTCCCTGGGCATACCCCGTTACTCTGATTCAAATTGACCAGACGGATCCAGATGCCCCTCCACTACGTGATCCACGCACCGGTCTGTGTATGGTCTGTCCACCCGATGTGCCTGGGCAGTTGGTTGGCAGAATTACTGAGTTTCGGCGCAATCAGCTGAATCCAACTGTTTCCAAAACTCGCACTACTCTAAGCTTAGCAACCAGTAGCAAATCTGGCGCCATTGGCGATCATAAAGGAGGAAATTCGGTGGTGCCCGGTGTACCGTTAGTCAGAAATCGAACTCCTGGGATGACCGGTTTGAGTTCTATCGGCTCAAGTGGGGACTCAAGCTCTGAAATGCCATCCAGTTTAGTGTCTCGCCTGACTGATCGAGTGATGCCTAATCTGTTGCGTGCCTACGACGGCTACGTGAGTCAGAAGGCGAGCCAGAAGAAGATCATTCGTGATGTTTTTCGCAAGGGTGACGCCTATTTTCTTTCAGGTAGCCCTTAGCCATTAATCAATTTTGCCTTATTAGCATATAGGACTGTTCACATTGCTGTACTTTACTGTTATATTTAAGTAATGTTTCTTTCGAATAGATAGCATGTACATATTTGCAAATCTATATTTTCATAGATATACAGATATCTGCATGTTTTAAGTGTGGGGACAAGGGTATAATAGATTTTTCCGTTTTTCTTTAATCAACTAAAATGATACTCACAATGTGTGTCTTTAACTTGGACCCGATTGCTTATGCTTGAATCATCCTTTTGCTCTGCTTATATGGAGATTTGTCGGTTAGTCTAATTTGATTCACATTCGAGTTTCGCAGACTTTGTCTATCTTAATCGAAGGTACCAAGATCAAGATGGTCTGGCCCATAGTATGGCCGTGGTCTTCATTCGTTTTATGGCAGTTGTTTAAACTTGTTTACGCAATTGCTTGTATTGTCAAAAAGACCTAGAAGAAAGCAACTTGTCCGGAGTCCATAGTATGAGTGATAATTCCCAGATTTGGACTATGGAATTGGTACATTCTCAGACGCTTCGCCGGCATCGTAGTCGGTATCGTTAGGGATGCTTGTACAGCTTGATTAAATGCCATTTTTAATCTTTAGTACTGATAAATATAAAAATGGCAATTTCGTTTTATTTTAATAGAGCGTTTATCCTTTGAACCCTCTTAGTTATTTATTTTTCCTACAGATATGGCGCTGTAAGGGAGCATTCTCTTCAGCTCGTAAATGTTACTAACTACCTTTTGGCTTAGCAGATATTTAAAATAAATTTTTATGTCTGAAATAGATTAATTACTCACATATCTGTCCTAGAATCTTTCTGTTTACACTTGGCAATTTTACTGTTCGTTGGTATGATTAATTCACAACTAACTGTTATCATTTTATTATAGGGCCTCATTTATACTATCTCTGATCACATGTTTCGGAGCATCTGGGTGAAACCGATTAAGCCATAATCCCAAACTCGGATTTAGCTCATGTTTATTGTTTAGCTTGAGTCCTACTCATATAGTGAAGCCACCTTGGCATTGACTCTTTAGATGCCTTTTTTGTTGTTACGAGAACAGACACTTACATATACACAAGCATGCATCTAAACATCCATTCATTTCTACACACGAGCTGTCCACCCCATTTTCAGAACATGCATGAATGTTTCCAAATGACCTCTGACTTTACCACGCTCGCCTTTAGCATCCATCAAGCAAAGAAGTAGGGCGATTTAAAAAAATATTTTTATATAAGGGCTACAGAAGAAGCGATTTTGAATATGGCTTCTCAACAAAAAAATACCATCGTATATATCAGCAGTATCGCCAGCATATCTTCTTGATTTGTATCGCACTTCACGTACTAAGGCGAACCCAACTCTTTGAGCATGATCCATATGAAATCAGGCTTTTCTCGGATTGATAAAGACCTGAACCGAAAGGCTTCTCCTTTTGATTAACTTTTCGTTGATTTACTTAACAATGCGGAATAGACCAGTTGTTGAACGAGCTGGTTGAGGACTGACTGTTGAGGTCTGCTTGATTGAGGTCAACAATGGATACATGCAAGGCAACATTTTGCCATTGAATGGCACCATCAG